GTCACCGCGCCTCGGTTGCCGGGTAACCGGGAAGGCGGGCTGGGGGCGCAGCTGCGCGAGGCGTGGGTGACGCCGGACTGTGGCGCGCGCTGCTGCTGCCCCCCTCCCTGGGCTTTAGGGCTGGGAGGCGTTATTTTGTGTCCCAGACAGTGGGGCCTTGCCAAAACCTACAACAGGTCCCCGGATTCACTGGCCCCCTGCCTGTTTCCCCAGGAGAAGGCTGAGGACCACATCGGCGAGGGGGACAGAGGGGTTCAGAGGGCTCACCGGCTTGGATCCGCCGAGAGGAAAAACCACACAGGCTCTGGAATCGGGTTTAAAAAAGGCTTGTTTAATTAGTTAAATACAAGGATGAGGCCAGGTAGGGCAGGGGGTCACCCTGAAGCACAAGTCCCTTGGGGCCATGCACCCCCCCCCTTGAGAGGCCCCAGCAAAATGGCTGAACTAGGTCCCAGTGACCACCAGTCCCTCCAGGCCCCTGGACACTGGAGAGGAGCCAGGGGACAAGTTCTCAGTTGGACCCTCAGACTGCAGTCTACCTCCTGCAGACAGGCACCGGCCAGGGCTGGTACAGTCAAGACGGCAGACACAAAGGGAAAAAAGGCCCCGGCTGGCCCCCTGCACCCCATCCCTATCCCCAAACTAAGGCATCTACCACCGGCCCACTGAAGGACAGATGGGCCAGCCCAGCTCCCAAAGAGCTTCTCTGCTTCCCTCCCCAGGACCCCAGGAAGCCGTCCCTGGATCCTGCCAGGGCCGGTCCGGGTCCGAGCCAGTGCCATCCAAGCCCCCTAGCTCCCAGGTGGGAGAGTGCAAGGTTCTAGAACAAATGGGGATGCCACAGACCTCCTGCAGCCAGAGGCCAGAGGGGTGGGGCACGGAGTAGGCCCTCCCAGGGTCTCAGACAGGGAGCCTGGGTCCCTTCCTGTTCCAGGGTGAGGAGGTCTTCAGTCCCTCTGTACAAAACAGCATTTACCCTTCCCCATCCTAAGTCCAGATCAGAGACCCTTCCCCCACACCCACAACCCCTGAGGACAACAGACCACCCACTGGGGCCCAAATCAAGGAAGGGATTGGCGCCTGAAAAAATAGTCTATCCGGTCCGAAAAAACTGAGCTATCCCAGGGGGTTCGGGGATCAGCCCTCCTGCTTCCCGCCCGTGTGGACAGGACCTCGACCACCGGTCCAGGGGCCCTGCCGCACAGGGGGTCATGCGGGGGAGAAGGGCCCCGGCGCGATGGAGACAGGGTTCCCGGCCTCCTTACCCCCACCTACAAGAGGGGAAGGGGTGCACCTCGCCCAATGGCTGTCGTGGTCCCAAGTCCCAAATCAGAGGGAATGATTGTCACGTGGTACTGCACAAGGCCGAAGTCGGGGGCTCTGCCCCTGCACGGGGGGCCGCTGTGGCGCCAGCTCCCCCCAGTCTCTCACTCATACACTCGCACACCCACCCAGAGTGGGGCAGTAGAGCCCCCCACCAGCAGAGACAGAGGAAAATAAATAAACCTGCATTCATTCCCATCTCCTAATATCCCCCCAAGTGAATCAAATTGCTCTTTGGAAGAACCCCTGTTCTGCCCCTCCCTCCCCCAAGTCTCAGAAGCAAAACCAGGACCTCTATGGAAACCCTACCGCCTCCCCCCTTCCACTCTCACCCCCTTCCCCGCGCGGCTGAGAAGCTGCGTGGCCCCTCCCAAGGGCAGTGGGGCAGAACCTATGGACACCTGAGATTGAGTACCCGAATGGGGGCGGCCAGGCCGCACCCGTTTCCCTGAACGTCTCCAATGGCTTTCTGTGGGGGTGAAGGGTTCCAGGGGGCGGGCGGGACAGGAGAAAGCCCACAGGAACCCCCTGGTTCACCTATGGCCCATTCCACACTTCATCCCAACCCAGAGAGAGAGGCTGGGGGGACCAAGTCTGAACACTGGTTAGGGGGTGCCTTTCCTGGGCTACCTCCCCCCAAGGCCCACACCTCCCCCAAAGGAGGGAGGTGGCGAAGGGGGGAGGGGAACGCCTTCTGGCCACCGCCCACCTGGGGTCACTGGTGAAAGGCTGGGAAGAGTTCTCGATCATGGCTATATACAGACACGGCCGCTACCCCTCCCGAGAGCAGCCTCCAAGGCCCTGATGACCTGGTCCAGTCTCAGACCCCCTCCGTGTTTTCTTTAGAGAGGCAGGGACATCCTGGGGCCCTCG